TCAATTGACCTAGCAGGTCCTCAACCAACTGATTTTGATCAGTCCAGTATAAACAAACTCCTTTAGCACCGAGTTTGCTTGTGTTCATTTTGAGCTGCCCAAGAACTATCTCCAGTCCAGAAACCATTTGTCATTATTATTTCACAGCCAGCTGGAAGATAAGGGGAGATTTATGAATACTAGTAGGTGTCTCTAGACAAGTCATGAAGACAGAGCTAAAGTATAGTCAGCAGATTAGCAGACAAAGATTTCACTTCTAACTCTGCTCATACCTCTGTTGTCAGTCTGTGCAAAGAGTCTGTGTAGCAAATGAGCAAGGAACATTTGCCCCCTCTCACACTGACTGGTGCTCCTTTGTGAGCAGGACAGAGACAACAGGGACAAGAAAGCATGAGGGCACTTGCTGGCAATCCTGTCAAAATACACACACACACACACGCATACACATAGCTATATATATATCCCCCTTCCTCTTTTGACTGTGCCAGCTGGGTTATATGTTCATAATATGAAGTCCTAACAAGGTTTAAAAAGAAATTAATAAAAATACTAAAAATCCTTGTTTGTCACTGTTAGGGACCCCTGATTTCTGCTAGTGACAAAAGATAAATCTTTTTCCTGTCAAAGCAGAATTTAACATATTTCCCTTTCACAGCGGCTGTGTGACAGCTATGCTGAGCTGATTATTGCAGTCAGCTTTTGTGCCTGCACAAACAGCAGATGTTTTGCAGTTATGAGCTGGTCTCCTCCATGCACACTGGAATGGCAGCTTTTACTGATTTTTCATTGACCTCTTCAATTACTGTAAAAAGAAAGCAAATATTCAGGATACACAGTGATTGAAAGCAGAACATGTTTTTTGGCTGCGTGATCTGAATACCTCTCTGTGTTCATTACTGCTTATGTCAGGTTGGCCTCTTAAAAATTGCACTAAATTGAAGGATAATGAATCCTTCCCCAGAGATCTGGAGTGTGCCATATGCCTAATCACGCTCTGTGACAAGATGGCAAGGCCGAACAATGTTATCTCTGCTAAGTACAAAGTGCTAGTTTTAGTTCTCATTTAGCTATATGCAGCATAAAAATCCCATATTGTTGATAAAAGTTTCCAGCATGAGTTGCTAAATAAGTTATTTGGACTTTGGTCACTTCCACTTCAGTATTTAACCCACTCTTTTTAAATAGGCTTAGAGCTGCCTGCCTGAGAAGTGAGCAGCATTACCTCACACAGTCCTGGTTAAGTCTTCTGTGCAAATTGTGCAAGAGATACTCACTTAAAACACTACCTAGAAGCGTCTTCCACTGAATCCAGTGGGGAGCTTAAGCCCTCCTTTTCTGGCTGCTGCATGGTAGCTTCTAAAATTATGCAAAATGTCTGGGCTCAGGTGCCCAGATGGTTCCCTTGTGTCTTCTCCTAAATGAAGTTCTTTAAAAACAGAATTTATTTAGAATCACTGAGTGTAAAATAGCAGAATTGGATCTATCCAGTGTTTGATTTTTAATTTTTTTTCCTTTCTTCCTCCATCAGCTTACCAAATACTAATCAGAAAGCTTTCATCATTGTAATAACTACTGGAAATGCAGTGGCCTGTTATTTTATCCTTACCAACCTGCAGCCAAATATATATTTGAGGCTTACTGCTTCACTAAGGCTTTGTTCAAATGCAGAAGAATTAGGAGAAAGAAGACCGTATGTAGGATACATCCATAGCTAGTAAAAGTATACAGCTAGGTAAGCTGCTCAATGGGCACACGAAGGTGAGGGCAGCTGTTACATCCCGTCCTTTTTCTGAGTTGCAAAAGAAGTACTGGGGACTATTTATACCTGAAATTTCTTTTTCTATGTATGGCTGTAAGATGTAAATTTCCAGTTCTATTCTGAGAGTTCACTTCAGTGTGGTGGATGGGTAAAAATAACAAGATATCCTCATAGCTAAACTGGGATGGCTTGCTCTTGTTGAGTGATAGCTTGCTCCACTAGTATTCTTAGCAGCCAGTGTTAGAGTAAAATCCTTCCTCGTGCTAGAAAAGAACTCAGAATTCACAACTTAAATGACATTGCTAAACTCTAGGCTTTTGTAATTTGTGAATTGCAATGCTCAAATGAAGCAGGTAATTAAAAAAAAAAGTGATTGCTTAACATAGAGCAGTCAGTATCCATAATTCAATTGGAAAGATGGCCTGTATTTCAGTAGGTGAATAAGACGACATTACAGAGTCTGGAAGATGTACTTAATATTTGTACCGAAGGAAAATAATACGTGGTTTTATACCAAAATGTGTTGTAGTATTCGGTAGATTTTCAGTTTTAATTAGACCAAATTTATGTAGTGAGGCAAGGGAAGACTGAAATTGTTTTGTTCCATTAAACTGTACCTTAATATGTGGGGTTTTTGCAACTTGTGCCACAATAGAAAAGAAACTCGATTTCACAATGGGGTGCATGCACTCAGACATAAACAACCAGGCTTGTTTCACCTGATACTCTGTATATACTCTGTACTTTCTATATATATTCTGTATATCCAAATCAAGAGATTTGTAAAAGCTGTAACTTTCTGTGATGAAATAGATAAAATTTTTAAAAAATTATTTGGAATGACTTGATTCCTTGATATGTGTTTTGATGCACTATTCCTTTGTTTTTCATATGGTTTTGCTGGGGAAAATTACAGGATCCAGAGATGCAGCATCTGCTCGTTGACAGTGAAAATTGCAGTGTGTCTCTGAACTCCAGCTTTGAGGTCACTGGGGAAGGCAGATGTGGGACATCAGCTATCAGCTTCCTTGGGGCCTTGCGAATACCTGTGAGTAGACACAGTGTTCTTGCCTGTTCCTCTAAGAATTAAGTTTTGCCTCAGTATTCGTATTTCCGTGAAGTTCTGGATGGAGTGGTGGATGGCATTAACTTTGCATCACAGGCTTTGATTTGCAACTCTGGTGTATACAGGCTAAAGCAGAGTCTGGTGCACAGGACAAGGTCTGCCCCTCTCAGAGGAGGAGTGAAAAACAATACAGGAGTACTCTCTTTCCCAGTAAGCAGATGGAATGAGCTCATTGGTTACATCTTAGAAACTACAACCATCTAGGCTCCAGTACCTGCATAAACTGCTTTATAAACAATTTCTTCTTTTTTTTCCCCCACCTCATTAGAACTAATGCTAGAGCAGCCTATAATGTAATAGTTTACTGATCTTAGTTAATGACACATGGGTATTAAGGATGGAATAGCAGGCTGAGTCTATAAGCACTCCTCTGCATGAGGCCTTCCTTCCATGGCTTCCCTTTTACACTGCTCAACATTGTTTTAAAATCTCTTGTATGGTTTATGTTGAGAAGGTTCAGACAGCCCAAACATTCGGACTGCTACTAAAAGGAAAGGAAGTTTCCTTTAGGTCAAAGACTCATCCTTGATTGTTCTCCTACCTTAAAGCCTAGCAGCTTCAGTAGGCTGCACAAGTAGGATTAAATACAAATTGATTTGGACCAAGTAGAAGTAATGTGTAGAAAAATAGCTGCTGCTGCTGCTGCCACCTGGGATCTCTGTAACTCTGCGGTGTTTTTCCTGCCTGTTGTTGGGAAGAGTCACGGCTGTATGTGAAGTAAAGCCAGCTGTGTATGTGTGTTGCCCATGCTGATTATCTGAGTTAAGAAGTCCAGTTTCAAACAAAGAGATATCAGATGGTGAGGGCAGTGAAGACAGGTTAATTTGGCAGTTTGGTTGCAGCTCTGTGCAGTAAGTATCCTTTTCATATGCCCATCAGGAAAGAGAATTGAACAAATTAGTATTTTAAGTAGATATGTGCCCTGTCTGTAGTGTGCTCTTACCATGTACTGATTTGGACTGTGTTATACTGGCTTTTTGTAAAGAGTTAAACAATAAGGGATAAATCTTAGACCCGTTTGAAGGAAGGATCTAAAGAACACAAAAATACGCCAGTTTCTCTGGAATACACTCCAAATCTGCTATAGTGCTAAATAAAAACTCTTCACATAAGGAAAATAAATGATGCAGGTGTCCCAGACAGTATCAGATCCTTCATGTTCATTTTAGTGTTTGTTCTTTGGTCAGCTCAGTACAAGTAAGAGAAGAGAAAACATATAAGTAAAATACCACAGTCTGCTCTGTTTGTAAGCTTTGTTCTCTCAGAGGATGAATGCTTCTTGGGAATTCTCAAGAGAAAAATGAAAGCCTAAAGGCTTCTTAGAAACCATTTTCATAATGGTCTTTGAAAGTAAATAGCAGCCTCTATCAAGATACTAACTTCCTATTTTTTTATTCTCTCAGGGAGTCATAGAGTTCTCCCTTTGTCTTCTGTTTGCAAAGCTGGTGAGCTATACTTTCCTCTTCTGGCTTCCCCTCTATATCACAAATGTGGGTAAGTATCACAGGAAGGGGGTGCAGAATTATGACTACAGAGTGTGTGGAAATAAGAGCTTGAAATAAGAAAATAAACATCACTGCAGAGAGATCCAGGTTGAACACCCTATGAAAACACATATTGCTGCAAATCCTATAGCTAAAGACTTGTGTGACAACTCTAAATAACCAGTGCTCCTGCAGGACTGGGTACCTTAAAAGCAGCAGACTTTTGATAGAAAGGTTAATGATGTTTACCACAGCACTGCCAGCTGTTGTGTTGCAGATGTTGCTGAGGTTATGGTAGTGCCACTGACCACACTCTTTTGGCACAAACTGCTCCTTCAAGTGTATTTCAGAGACTTAAAAAAAATATTAGAATCATAGAATACCAGATTGGAAGGGACCACAAGGATCATCTAGTCCAACCTCTTGAGGTAAAAGTACAGTTTAAATGAGAGGAGTCAGCAACCTGTCAAGCTGACTCTTAAAGCTGACCAATGTAGGGGAATCCACCACTTCCCCTGGGAGATTGTTCCAGTGTCTGATTGATCTCATGGTAAAAAAATTCTTCTGGAGTTCAATCGGAATCTCCCCAGAAGCAACTTGTGCTGCCCTCAAGCCAGGTGGAACCCAGTCTCGGCTGCATTCTTGGATTCTGTATTCCCAGATGCAAGATCTTACATTTGTCCGTACCTAAAATACCAAAGGAGTATAGAAATCCAGCTCCTTTTGAAACTTCATACTTAATGTGATAGGACTATGTAGTCCAGCTTCCTGAGGTACTTTTCAAAATCTGACCCTGTAGCACATCAGTAACAACATTAGACTAAATTAAGTATATGCAAACAGTGAAGTTGCTGTCTCTTCATGACCCCATAAACTGCACAGTGTGTGTTGTGCCAAGCAGGATTGCCAGATGTAATTCAGTGATGAATATTACTGGTCATGTGATGGAAGCCTCCAGGATGCAGCTCTGTAAGTGATCCAAATGTACACTAATCATGCTTTTAGAGCAAAGAGTCTCATGAGTGTTTAACTATTTATGAATCGGTGGCTATTCACAGATGGCAATATTGTTAGTCCAGGCTTCAGCAATCAACAGCTCTATTGCTCGGACCATATCTGTCGTTAAAGTGGTAAAATGTCCTGCCGTGAGTGTAATTGCATTCAGAAGACTGTATCCCTGAATTTCCAGTTATGATAAATTCTTATTTGTCATATACAGTGACAGCTTATAATAGCTTATTCCTTTGAACAAACAATACTGCTGCAAGAAGTCTTTATCCTAGCATGAGAAGACTGTGTTGAGATTTCTACATCTTGTAGTCTGGAAATGAGAGAAATGTTATTCTTCTGTCACTAGAGCATCTTGATGCCAAAAGAGCTGGGGACCTTTCTACACTTTTTGATGTGGGTGGAATCTTTGGTAAGTTTTATATATTAATATTTCATCCTTAATCAGACCAGTTTAGGAAAAGCTGTGGTACTCACAGCTTACATGGATTATTAATCCTTGTGCTTTATGTCCACTGAAGAAGAGTAGCAGTAAAGGCACTAAGTTGAGAGCTGGGTTGGTTTTTGAAAACCTACCAAAATATCTTTAAATTGTACAGCACACAGAGCCAGTGATATTGTCCAGTACAGATTGTAAGAGCCAAATATTATGGAATCTTTTAGCTCCATCAGCTCTGGCCCATGAGTCTTGGTCACGCCACCTGTCAAAATATCTTTCTTTGTTGCTCTAACATAACAGAACTATCCCAGTGTGTACGTTGTGTATTTTTTGTGGGCACAGAGGCCAATGGCCACAAACGTGTTGGGGTTTTGTTTGTTTGTTTGTTTTCTTGATGCCTCATAAAACTGTATGTGATAAATTTGGGAGATTGTAATAATAATAAGGATGAGACTATTCCTTTGTAAGTTGCAAGGTGACTACTGAATAATTAAGTTTTTATGCCAGTGCAGACAGTATAGCTCACAGTAAAACAAGCATCGTCATCTTGATGCCTGGCTGATTTATCTCACACACACACACACACACACACACACACACCCCCACACCCACACACCCCCACACACACCTGCCCTGCATCCCCTCTCTACCTCCCCCAGCTCCCCTGTGGAAACAAGCTATGTATCAGTCTGTTGGAAAATGCTGCTCATGATGGAGAAGTTTATTCATTCAAGAGCTATGTGGATCCTGGTATTTCAAGATGCAGGTATTAAGGTGTAGTGCAGTTACTGTTCTAGTCTTGTGCTGAGTGTGACTTCTGCCATTTCTCACTGCTTATTTCATCCTAGATAGCTAGAAGCCAGAGTCTGTAGTACCTTAGACATGTGGGTGACTTATTTCAGCAGCATTTTATTGAACTGTGGATACAATGTGCCAGTACTGCTTGGACCTTTGGCATTTATATTTAAGTTCAAGTGCAATGTGAGCACTTTGGAGATGGACAATAGGGAAGGGAGAGGCAGGCCCAGCAATATTTAGGAATCTGGAGAATCCAGAGAACTTCCTTTCCTTCTCTCTGTACCAAGTTCCCTTTATACCATTTTGGTCGCTTCTTCCCTCAGGCCTTCCTGCCCTCTTCTGCCACTTGCTCATATTAGTATTCCCACATACAGTTACTGCCAAACACAAGAAGTAGGGAAAACTAAAGAGCCTGGAGTGACTACCTGGAGAGAAACTCAAATATTTGCCCCAAGATCAGAATAGATAACTTCCCCTGGTTGTGGTGTGACATGGACCGAGACTTGAGAGCCAAGTTTACTGTTACATGTGAGGAGTTGAGACACCAGTGAGTAGCTGGGCACAGCTGGATTTCAGAATGCCAGCAGTGGGGCCATGTGGTAGCTGGCAAAAGGCATTCAGAAGCCACAAAACAGTTATTTCTAAATATTTCTTCCATCTCTATTCTGCCTCTGCTTCTGTTATCTTGCATATTTGGTTGGAATAAACAATAAGAAGAACAACTGCCTTCTGTTTATTTTCCAAGTCAAAACTGGTTGGGTTTATAAGGATATTGTTAAGTGCAAATTATGTTGTCAGTCTCATGCTCTGTGCTGCTGTGTACAGCTGTACATTAAAAGTCGTATCCTGTTGTTTTAATTTGGTTTCATTAAGTATAATTGGTGGGTTTTGTGTAAAATATGCCCAGAATGTTTTCCTCACACACCTGTCTCCTCTTTCAGGTGGAATTTTGGCAGGCCTGATTTCAGACAGGCTGGAGAAGAGGGCATCGACCTGCGGGATGATGTTACTGCTTGCAGCACCGACAGTAAGAGTTTTCCCTTCTCTTACAGCTGGGACTTTGACAGCATTCCTTGGGAAGTTCTGCAGGCATATCCAAGTTATATCTTCTAACTTGGATATAAAGAGTTCAGGCCAGGTTAAAAGTCAGCATGAAAAGTTGAGCGTGCGAGCAAGTATAGACATTGGAGCTGCCTTTACTAAACAAGCAAATGAGTCTGATGTATTGTTTGCTATAGGATTATAAGGAGAGTTTATCACTCTCTTGTAAAACTTTATGTTCAGTTCTTAACCAGAAGTTTAGCTGCTCAAAGGCTAAAATTTCTATGCTATAACTGTTGGAAAACTGGCAGTTGAACATATGAGATGCATTTTTCTTAGATTCTTTTGTGAACAGTATTCTGTGCTATGTTGAAGCTGGCAATGTGAAAGTTTAAAATAGAGTGGTCTCATAACACATCCCTTTCTTCTGAAAGGACATACTTGGGAATAGGAACATACCCCTTTTTCCCTCTTGTGTCAAATCAGCCATTCTGCTGTGGTCTAAAAGGGTTTAGTAAAACCTAAAACTAGCTTTCACATAATACCAACAAAGATTGTTTGTAATTAACACGGGCAAAAAGGGGAACCTAGGATTAGTTCATATGTTGATATTCAACGTGGCTTTTTTTTTTTTCATCTTTACAGTTGTACATGTTCTCTGCAGTCAGTAAAATGGGCCTTGAAGCTACTGTAGGTGAGTATTTTTAAATTGTATCCTGCCTGGCTTTCTGTGAACTTTTCATGCATTTTAAATTTTATTTTACATTATCCCTGAGAGGAGGAAGTATGGAATCAAATTCCTTGGACTTTGTCTTGTAGGTTTTTTTACAGGGTAAGGAAGGGCGGGCTAGGAAATGAGTCAAGGGTGACATGAGAACAGTGATTTAGTTAATATCATTAGTCTTCTTTCTGGAGCTTGTTCTATCAGCACAGGCTTTATTATATTCCTTTTACTCCCTATGCCATATATTAGAGGTGTTTAAAGACTGCATGTAGTACTTTTGACAGCAATGTTTACTTGTATAGACTGAATTCACTTGTGGCTTTCTATCTGTTACTTCAAAATAGAAGTTGAAGTACAAGTGCTGACAGTGGTGTCTCACCTACCTAAAGGCCTAAAGTTAACAAACTTTTAGGGCCCTCTGGTGCTTTTTGCTGTACAAGCAGAGAAGGGGCTTATTGGTGTATTCTGTGAGCATCCCCAGCTCTTAGGGTCAGTTTGGTTATATTTTGCCCTTTCTCTGACTTACCAGGATCAATAAAGTGCCTTTTCACTCAGCCCCTTCTCCTGTTTTATTTGTTTTATTCATGTTATGGAGTAAGCATTGAAAGGAGATAGGAATATGTGTTGCTTTTCTTCCTTTCCCAATTCTGTAATGGGGTCAGGGGAGCCGAGGAAGGAAAAACTATTTGAGAAACATAGGCTATGATGTCTCCTGTTACGATTAACAGTCTTTCAGGCAACTCACATTTTCCATTTTTGTCCAACTTGCAACAGTGATGCTGCTTATCAGTGGTGCCCTGGTGAATGGCCCTTACGCGCTGATCACCACTGCTGTTTCTGCTGACTTGGTGAGTTTGGCTTCCCCTCTGCTGCCAGTGTAGCAGCTTTGGCCTCCAGAGAGAGCCCTTTCACTTCTGCAGGGTGGTCAGCGTAGAGGCTGTGTTGTCCCAAAGCAAAGGGATAAGGAGTTGGATAGATAGTGCTGGTCTTGGCCACTGAGTGAGTGTCCTGCTTGTGAGAGGCTTCTAAATTATTCTTGCCTACTAATAAGGCAGCCCAAGTCTTGTAGATGACAGCCCAAAGTGAATGTGGAGGTTGCATGCCAGGCCAAGCCTCTGTACAGTTGCCTTCTCCCCTTTTATACTTTGCACCTTTAAATGAGGGGAAGGGCTCTGTCTGTGTGAGAGATGAGTTGGAGACTTAATTCCCATCAGTGCGGAAAGCTATACATGGCACATACCCTTACTTTTGTCCATGCTACCCTCTGCCCTTTCTTGTACTGTAACTCGGGTTGCTGGCACTTCCAGCAGGATCAGGTCAGTCACATGTGTGAAAACATTGACTCTGGGTACCTTTCATTAGGTAGAATTTGGAAGGATGCTTTCAAAGGTCCTCATTCCTTAAGGCACCAAGCAAAAGGCAAAACTCCTCTAACAACAAATGCTCTAAATACAGGGAAAGGAGCAGGACAGAAATCTCCAAACATCCTCTGGAGCCCTATCATTGGCCTGGAGGTCTTGGTAAGACAAAGTGGGGCCACCATGCATTGCCAATTTTATCCTTAGCCTAATTGAAGGGGCTGGTAGCTAGAAAGTGGGGCCTGACATCACAAGATCCCCACCTGGCCCTTGGGAAAAGCACTGAAACTACCAATCAGTTCCTAGGATGTCGGCAATCAAACATCTGACATGAGCAACTGTAAACTGCTGATTACCTGACTGGATTTGCTTCAGTGTGCTGCAGGACTGTCTGCCTTAGCAGTTCTCTGAACTGATCAGTTTTTCTGCCTTACTACCAAGTCACTCCCTTTATCAGTTGTTTTGTTATGAAGACTTGGCTTCTGAAGTTGGGACTGTTGTTCTGCAGAGCTTTGCTGTATTGGCAGGGGAAGAGAGGGCCATGGAAACAGCCTTGCAGCATAATACAAAGCTGAAGTGCTGTCCTTGTTGCTTGAATCCACAATGTGTAGAACAGAAAGCTTCTTGGCTTCTGTGGTTTAAATAAGAGAAGAGGATGCTGTAGGTGACAGGTTGATGGGGTAGAAGGCTTCTTTAAGTAGTGATAAAAGGGCCTGAGCTAGGATATTTACAGCATCTTCACAATGTACATCTAACGTGGAGGGGTGTGAGCTAGATGACGTTGTAATGGCTTTTTTGGAGTTCAGCTCAGGATGGCTCTAAGCAGTCTTTGTCACTTTAGGGTACCCATAAAAGCCTGAAAGGGAATGCAAGAGCCTTGTCCACAGTGACAGCGATCATCGACGGAACAGGATCTGTAGGTAAGCCAGAACTGTGAGGTAGCCTGCCTTAGCTGTGCCAGGTTAAAACAAAGGGTATTTGGGGAACTTGGCACTCTCCAGTTCACATACATAAAGTAATACTGACTTAACCAGGTGGAGAAATTGATATTCTAATTCAGAATAATTATCTTTCAACACAGTAACTCTTGCATTGTATCATTCTGACTATATCAATAATATATTGTAGGTGCGGCTTTGGGGCCTCTCTTAGCTGGTCTTATTTCCCCATCTGGTTGGAACAACGTGTTTTACATGCTCATGGTGGCAGATGCATGTGCCTTGCTAGTAAGTCTAGAAATACTATTTAGTTGCCATGTATTTACTTTGTGCTGAAGTATCTTAAAATGCAAATTGTCCTTTTGCAGTTTTAATACTCCATCGTATAAGAAACTTCCAATTGTGTAGGAAATTTTCAATTAAAGTGCAGATTTGCTTATTTTGAAATTCTCATTTTAATCAAAAGCGCAGATAAGTTCTGATGCGCTTCAGTTCCTGAGCACATACATACACATCTGTTAATTGCTGGCTGAGCAGATTTCAGCAGGCATAATTGTAAGTAAACCTTCATATGTAGACCTAGAAGATGCCTCAGGTTCCACTCACGGAAGAATTATTTCTGCGTTCTTTAAAGCTGATTTAGCAAAGCAGTAGCAAATGTTTTGCTACGTTGCTGTATCACCAGAATCACTGTGACAGTGAAGCTGCTAAAAGTTAATACATCACGTTCTCCAGATGGGCCCTAAAACTACTGTAGTAGGTTAAATGAAAAACTGGCATCCTTACTTTTGACCGTAACCAGGAACAGGTGTTTAGGGGAAAGGAGTGCAACACTCACACGGTGGCTTGGTACAACGCACATCCATTTTCCTTTCTTCTCCTGTTTGAGATCCTGTATAATGGAAGGGAAGACCTGAAAAGGTTAGGCTGTTTTTTCTTTCACTTCTGACTTGCTCTCCTTTGCTTTTAATGACCCAAGACGACATGAGATGAGGCAAGGCAAGTATTGCTGTGCCTTTGAAGTCAGTCCTGCTGCACCCACCTGTAGGTCAGCCTGTAGGCTACATTTCTGCGTTTATTGCAGATTTCCCTGGTAGGCATCTGTAGCAGCTCTGTTCTCCAGCAGAGCAGAAAGCTGCTATAACTGCCTCAGAGATGTCACCTGCTTATCCTCTCCTTTTGAAGTCCTGGGTAGAAGAGCTCATGAAAGGGCAGGGTGACTGTGAAGCACTTCAGAGTTACTCCTTCCTCTGTCCTGGCTGGGCCCAGACAAAACCCTGTGCTGCCTGGCATTGCCCTGAGCTGCGTGTTCCTGCAGAGGAGCTAATGCGAGTGCATCAGACCATCCTTTCCTGACAGAAGAAAAGCAGAAAATCTTGCTTTGAGTTATGATTGAGGCTTTTTTTTTTCCTAAATTCAAGTTAAACCCAAAATTTTAAAGTAAAATTTTCCACATTTAAGATGTAAAATCTCTGGAAATTAAGAAAATAAATAAAGTAAGTTAATAGTTGAGGTATGTCCTCACTAGTAGTCAGCAGCTCTATAAATCCTGATTTGTGCTGTTTTCAGTATTAGGTATTCCATGCTGTACAGTGAGACTTGGCAGATGATGTAGTTTTCCCAAGTAGACTTAAATCTCTGGGGTTTTTTTTCTTTTATATTTATTTATTAAAACCAAATGAAAAATATCTCATGTTTCTGTGCAGCATCACTTTGTAAAGCTCTGCTTTTGAGAGCGTTGACTCTATGTTGTAAGAAATTCTGGGTTTTGTAACTCTTGTTCTGCTTTTCCTGTTCTTTGCAGAACCCCATATAGATGCCTGTGTTCAACTGCTGTTTCTTCAAAGATATCTGGAGAGGCTTTAGCCTCTTCTGTGGTGTTCAGTTCTGTCACGCCTGGCCACACACATACCTTTGAAATGTTAGGATTAACTTCTGAAAACACCAACACCTAGAATAGTGAAGAAGCTTCCATTTATAACAGTGAGACTGTTGAGATGAGGATAAGGAAGCCCATAATAGTGAGGAACCCTGGAAGTTCTAATCTTACCTTTTATGTATGTGGGAGTCACAGAATTTTGTTTGCAAAATCACTTTGCTGGGTACTATCTTAGTACGCCTTTTAAAGTGCACTTGAAAGTCTTGATCCTGCACACACAGGTAAACAGGACCGACTTCACTCCTCTGGACTAATTGTGCCATTAAAGCTTTTCACACGCACGGCTGTTTTTCAGAATAGCGGCTAAAATACTTTCACGCTCCAAAATTTCTATCTGCCACATTTTCTTGAAGTCTTGGGTTCCCTCTGCTGGTTTCTTTACATGTCTGCTGGTAAAGTAACTTTGGAAAGCCATTCTAGTTTTTACAAAATAAATTTATCTCTCAGCTGCAAAAAGGAAATTGTTTTCCTCTTGCCTATTGTGAAAGCTCCTCTTCGAAACATTGACTGAGCATCTGTAAATATCTTTATTTTTGTTCTTACTGAGTTCAGTAAGAAGGGTAATGTTTCAAATGAGAAACACACTGAATAAGTGTACATCTTATCCTGAAACTTAGCTTTTTTGTATATCTGTATAGATATTAACACAGATACTGTGACTCTTTTTGCAGTTCTTACTCCGTCTTATTCAGAAGGAACTTCGGTGTAACGCACATCATACCCTGTAAGTATGGCTATTGCTTTTTAATAACAGTTAAAAACCACATTACTAAGCCATTGCCTCATAATACCTAGATCTAGACAGAACCCATTAGGGTTTCTGTGTGTCTGTTTCTGTTTTAATTTTGCTTCAAAAGAGTAATCTTGCTTTGATGTTTTAAAATAATAAACATTTTTCTTTAGAACATCTTATTTTGATAAGCATCTGAAGGCATATTTCTATATCACAGTCATTAGTGTTTGGTTTTGCCCAAATATGTAACCCTCCTGGTTTTTACCATGGACCGTGCAGGTGGGGAGTAAGAAGCTACTCTATTGCTTGCTCTGTGGATTTTTTAATAGTTTCAAATGTAAATTTTTCCAAAAGGACTCCTTAAAGGAAAG